GCCCTGGGGGCCAGCTATTGAGGGGTTGCCGTGATAACCCCTTAAGGTCCACTTCTCCTCTCACCACTGTGGTTCAGGTTGATCAGAACTCTTCCCTAGAGAAGATAGGAAGAACCCACTCGCCGCATGCTGGCATAAATGGCCACCACAGCAGCACAAGGTACACATTACAACCCTTTGTCTACAAAACACTCCACTGCCATTGAGTCGGTTCGGACTGAAAGCAGTGAAATACATCACTGCCCTTTCCCTGTCCTATAGGAGCCCGATGGCGTGGTGGGGACACATTGGACAGCTGACTGCAGGGTCACCAGTTCGAAATCATCAGCTGCTCTGTGGGTGAAAGATGAGGCTGTCTGCTCCCCTAAAGAAGCATGGTCTCAGACACCCACAGAGGCAGTTCTGTCGCAATGAGTCAGAACTGAGTTTGGGTTTGGTTGTCCTCGACGAGGCTGGTGGTTCCCTGGCTTCTCGTCTCCCTGTGGAATGAGCAGAACTGACAGGAGGACGGGAGCATCTCATGCTGTTCCTGCCACGGGGCACTTAGAATGAAGGGAATCTGAACTCAAGGGCATTTTCACCTTGGGAAGGTCCTGTGACCGTTCCGTCCAGGCCTCCCGGTCTGTGGATTATGAAACGGAGACTAGAGAAGCCAATTCACTGCCCAGGGTCACACAGCCAGCTCAAAGCAGAGCCTGTCCCCATGCCTGCCTAGAAGGCTCCTGTTTATGGGCCCCTGCGAGAGGGGGAAGAAACACCCCTCCCACACAGCTCGGGCCTGCGCCTGGCCTCAGCCTCCCACCCTGGACAGTATTCCTCCCCCACAACCACCACGCCCCCGGGGGACAGCCTGCTGCTGCCTCTTGCACAGCCCTGTGGTTCTGCTTTCTGTTCCTTGCCCGCATCTGTCCTCACCACGGTAGCTGGCCCACCTTCCTTTCTACCTTCCTGAGTCCTGCTGTGGTCTCTCCCCTCGGCCCCCCCACTTCCCCCCTCCTCAAGGGTAGAATGGGGCTAGGTCCCTGCCCCACCCTTTCTGTTCTGTTCGGGAGCAATGGGCGAAGTTGGGCAGCCCAGAGCACAGCCACCATAGTCAGGTTGGAACCACAGGCCCACAGCCGAGTCCTATGCTATGACTGAGGTGCACCAGCATCTGTCCCAGGGTCTCGGGCCGGGCGATTCTCTTCACTCGGAACTGGGAGGCTGGAGTCACCCCCCACTTAGCTTTCATGCCTCTGCTCGGGCTGTCACCACAGAGCTTTTACTGCTCCCCCATGACCTCCCGTCTGGCTCCTTCTTTGTTTCTTCCGACACCACCCTTGTCAGCCTCCCCATCCCATGCGTATTACCAGAACCTTCAGTGTCCGCTGTGGCTGGGGCATCCCTTCGTCTGGTCTCCGTCTAGCTTTGGCTAGACCACTTGGCAGTCTCCTGTGACTCCCCAGTGCAGTGCATTCATTCTGTGTGCATTATCCTCTACTCGAGCTAAGTCTACTTCTGGGACTGACCCACGTGCCCTGGCCTTAATGATGGCTGCAGAAGGCCCTCCTTCCTCATCCTTCTGGTGCCTGAATCCCGCCGACCCTCCAAGGGCCAGTTTAGGCTCATGTCCTGCTCACAGCTGCGTGTAAACTCTCCGCTCTCATGGAAGCGTACCCTTCTCTGAACTTTCCCTGCACCGGGAATCATAACCATGTGCTGGGACATTGATGAAGAAATTTTACATCACCCTGGATTGCCCTCCATCTACTAAATGCCCCTTCTCACCTGTAGGTCGTTTCTTTCAGTTACTCAGAGCGGTTTTGTGGAAAGACCTTGACCCTTGGGATCCTGTAGGCTTGGTTTGGAATCCTGGCTTTGCCCCTAGGCAACTGTGTGACCTCAGGAAAGTGTGATGACTTCCCTGAGCCCCATACCCTTGGTCTGGACATGAGAAAACCTGCCTGAGAGCTGTGAGAATGTAAGAGAATGGGAACGAACACACGTGGCTGATAATCCCAGAGCCTCGGCTGGATCTCGGGTAGCGGGACTCCTCGAAGCCCTGAGAGACATGTGTCCGTTCCCTGAACCACCTGCTAGGTGGTGTTGTTGCTCCTGCTGCTAGAGCCTGTTGAGTAGGCGTGACTCACGGGGACTTTAGGGGTAACAGATGGGGAGCGTGCCCCGTCTTTGCCATCTTCACGGTCCCTGGAATCTTCGAGCACACCATGGTGGTGGTGGTGCCACATCCTTCTCGTTGCATGTTCTCTTCATTTTCTTTAACCCTTTCCTTCCCCAAACATGAGAGTATGTTCCTAACAAAAGAGTTCACGGGCATCAAGTCTTCTCAGAGGCACGACGCGTGATGCCCATTTTAGAAACAAGGAAACCGAGGGCCAGACGTAAGGCCATGTGGCTAGTTGGTGGCAGAATCAGGGTTTGGGGTTTGGCAGCCCGTCTGACCCCATGGGGTTCATACTCCCTGGTGCCGTGCCCACATGCTTGGGAGGCCCTAACTAACTACAAAACTTGGCCCAGTCAAGGGCTGGCAGCACAGTCAATGAACCAGCAGCCCCAAGCCTGACCAACGCTAAAATGCGAAAGGCTTTCCCTGACGAGGAGGCCAGATCAGAATCCCAACTTTGTAGGAGGGACGACGCCATGGCACACGCAACATTAAACCACCAGCCATTGTTCGCCTTGAGCTTACCCTTGGTGAGATGTTATCCAGTGCTTTAGAGGCCTCTGTGGCCGGAGCAAATGAGGGTTGGTGTTGCCTTGAGGGCTTTCTGAGCATGTGCAACCCCCCAGAAAGGAACTAACGTTCACCAAGCACTTACTGGCTGTCGGGCTGGGCTAAGCTTTGCCCATGCTCCGCGTGCCTTGGGTCACTCGGCCCCATAAAACCAACAGGAGGCAGGCATCGGCTTATCCTTGTTTCACAGAAGAAGGGAATCAGCTTCAAAATATGCCAAGTTCCAGCAAGTAAAGAGCCCAGACTGGAACCCAGAAAGTCCGGTTCTAACACCAGCACCACCGGACATACTGGAAAACCTGGTCTGACACCAGGTTCCTGGAAATACTGGAAAACCAGATCCTGTTTGCGACTCAGTTCTTTGGTCTCTGGTGCTTTTCTGTCTGGGGCACGGCCTGCACACATGCAGCTGTCTGAGGAATGGCGCCGTGAGTTGTTCTGGGGACCAGAAGGTGGAGAGGGGGAGTTTCATGAAATAATCTCTACACAGCCGGAGGCTGTAACCCCTTTTCCGACCCCACATGCCAAGACCCCTGAAGTCTCATCTCTCCTGGGTTTTATGTGAAGGCTCAGCCGAGGAGGGTGTTCACAGGGGATTCCATGTGTAGGAGCCAACATAGACTTTAATTCAGCCCTACCCTACCACCACCACCCCACACACATACACACATCCGCTCTCACCAGCCACATGGCTTCAGACAGCTTGTACAACCTCTCCTCGCCCCCATTTCCTCCACTTTAACATAGAAACAATAATAGCATCTATTTCACATCCCGACTCCTTGTCTGCCATCGCTGTGGACGCTTCATGAGCCTGAAGTCGCAGTCTGCTGGGGCACGGGGCAGAGAGTATGAGGAAGGTTCTGGGGGCTCAGAGATTGTTCACCAGAACCTCTTTATCAGTGTTTGCTCAGTGGGGTGAAAGGGTGCTGCTATCTTTTATTGGTGTCCACTCTACCCTCCGGGCCTGTGTCTCCTCTATATTAGAGTGAATTGCATTTAGTCTGGAAGCTCAGCTTGCTTGATGGGATAGGTCAATGTTTCCCAAATTGGGTGATCCTGTCTCCCGGGGGTGGGAGAGTGACCCAGGGGAGCTGTAATATCAGGTACCTACACTGTATTATGTTTTTTGGTTTTGTTTTTGTTTTTATGGCTCACTTTGTTCTGTACAAAAGTTTTTAATTGCCAGAGGGGACTCTGAGTCCTTCTTTTCCCCCGTAAAAGAGGTGGTAGGCCAAATAAATGTGGGAACTTATGAGCTAGATGGTAAACTTCATATACTCGAATCTGCTTTGGAGAAAAGGGATCATTTCTGACTACCACGTGAATCATGGCAACTCGGGTACTACTGGGGATTTCATTGTCAGCAACTGTGTCATAGTAATTGTTAAACATTTATTCTTCAAGAGCCTAAACTTTGTTTTATATGTTATTATCCATTGTTCTTTGCTCAAGATCATAAGCTACTTAAGGGATGAGACCTGTCATGTTTGTTTTTGCATCTCCTATGAAGCCAGGACAGGGCCTTCCCTCTGTAGACCATAGCCTGGAAGGTGGTATGGTGTTGGGGTTCAGAGCAATCGCGTTGTCTGAAACCTGTGGGGTCCAGACCCTGACTCTGCTACCTACTATCTGAGTCACTTTGGGAAAGAGACTTAGCTTCTTGGTGCCTCAGTTTCATATGAGTCAGTAACTATAAAGCTCTTGTAATACTGTCTTATGTACATTGGAAAGTAATTGTTTTAATTAAAAAAGAAAATCAACCTTAGGGTCAGAGGAAGGCAAGGACACTCTCTGCTTCATTTTATAGGTCCAGACATGGCCAGAGTCTTGCCAACATTCCCCAGCCAGTTAGGAACAGAAATGAAATCTGGGCCTCGCTGACTCCCGGTCCAATTTCCCTCCTCCTGTGCCATCTTCACATTGAGGCCCTGAGCAAAATGCTTCGGTCGACAGCATGGTGGAGGCTGAAGATCCCTACTGGGTTTCCCCAAGGTCCCAGAAATCCCTTGACAAAGACAGATATGGATCAAATGCATCCCCCCCTGTCCCTGTGGCCCTGTCCCTTATCCTTTGAGAACTGGTTCATGGGAGGGGCTGGGAAAGAGCAGCCACAAGTCTAGGTGACTGCAATAACTCTCCAAAGGCCAAGCAACAGGACCCAGAAGTCCACAAGAAGGGACGATGAGGCAGGTGTTTATGAATGGCGGGGCTGGCCAGCCCAAGTTCATGCTTCTGCATTCTCTGTTCCCACATGACGTTTCAGGGAGTGCAGCCGACGACGAGGAGCAGTGGTCAGATGACTTTGTAAGTATGTGCTCCTGAGACTCAGAAGGTACCGCTTCTACCAAGTAGTGGCTTACTTTTTATTTTACACACTGTTGGTCAGCTGCACAACTATAGTCCCATCACTCAAACGTGGACCCTCGGACATCAATATCAGGCTCTTAGACACCAAGGTGCTCACTGTGCCCGAGAGGCATTAGGAGAGCTCCAGGGACCATTGAGTGAAGCAGTGGGACCTAAATGTGGTGACATGGGAGGGTTCAGAATTAAGTATCAGCCTCTGTGAGGTAGCTCTTCAACCCACAGGGACCTGACGAGGCTGCTGTGGCCGATTCACATGGCTGGTTCATAGGGGTGAGTCTTCTAGGGACAAAGCACCCCGAAAGACTTTTCCTTACCGGCATGTCGCCTCATTGCACGTAGATTAAAATCCAAGCTTGTAACGGCAGCCTCCAGCACCGGATGCAATTGGATCCTGCTGTAGAAACATGTAGGGCAAGGTGGGGTGGGGGGTGGGGGGTACCCTCCTGCTCCAATCTGTGAATTTGATATCTGGAAGAGCTCTAAAAGGGCCCCTGCCTCATCACACACCCCATTTTGCAAATAAGTCAACGCAAGCCCAGAGGGTGAGCGTGGCCTGACCACCTCCCCTCGGCTCCCCAGGGAGATGCCTAGCACTGAGCCCTACATCCGGGTGCCCTGTCCAGTTGATTCAGGGGATTAGCAGAGCGTGCCCCTCCTCTTCCCCTGCAGGGAAAGGGTGACCTCTCAAGTTGCTTGGCTGCAGAGCTCCCACCCAGGGCCCAGAGGCCGCTGGTGCTGCTGATTCTCAGCAGCATTGCAGTTGCACCCCCTGCTGGCTGCACCCTTCCCCTGCCCAGGCCACAGCTGAGCAATGCAAAGGCCCCCAACCAGAGGAAAGCCACAGACCGTGAACTCTGGATGAAAAGCACACACTGTCTTAGAAGGCAGTTGGAGCACGTGGTGAAGCCATCCTGGGGAGGGGGACCATGGCGTGCCTTTGCCAGGGTCTAACAACTCAACGGAAGGCAGCAGCTTTCCCCAGGGTCGGGTCAAGGTGAATCCACAGTGGCACACATCTTTGCTTCTGGGGCTCTCCAGAGTACACAGAATAAATCCCAGGCTTCTCACGAAAACCTCCAACCGCGTGACAAAGCCCAACCCCTGAGGACCTGGGAGGTCTGCCCCGTGTAAGCATCTCAGCAGGACCGCGTTCATCACACCCAAGCACACTGTCACAAGCATATCCTGGCACAAACCAAGCTCCCACTGCCTCCTGGACTCCAGGCTCATGGTGGTTGGGCGGGAGAAGGGAAGACAGGAAGACAGGAGAGGCGGGAGAGTGCCTGCCCCACTTTTCTCACTTGGCTTCTCACTCAGCCTTCTTCGGGTTCCATCCTTCTGCTCATCTCCCCGCCAGCCCTCCTCCAGCCCTCTCCATCGCCTGCTCCTCTGCCTCTCCCTTTGCCTCTTTCTCTCCGTTCACTCCCTCTTGTTCCTCTCCACCATCTCCCTAGTGACTAAGGAGAAAATGGTACCCCCCCCATTCCTTTATGAAGTCCTTCATGTCCAACATCCCGAACGTTCCTCATATTTGGGGCCCTGAGAACATAGCTGTGCATGCCCGGGGGATCGTATGATCCCTGCATCAATGTTATAAATTGCAAAGTGGAAGAAAACAGACCAAAAAAGCAGGGGCATCGTCTGTCCTTTGGACATGTATCGATTGTGGGCTGATCATCATGCATCCTGCAATGAGTGGGCCAGCGGACACAGGGGGCAGTGGATCTCTTATGTCCTGAATCCAGTATTTCCTCCACGTGAATTTTCACAATGGAGATAGATACGTATCTGTACTCTTGTGTGTACACATACTATCTCTGAAGTAGATGCACACGGAGCTACTAGCGTTGCCTCTGGGGAGAGGAAGTTAGGGATGGACAGGACACCCCACCCGTGTTGTCTTTCTGAACTGTGTGATGTTCAGACCTGTCTATGGATTTAAATAAAATTTATAACAGAAACACCCCCCCACCCCAAAGAAACCACAGAGAATCGACGTTGAGTCCGTTTGAAGTACAGCCGTGTGGCTTACCAATTTTGCTGTTTTAAAATCTCATCTCCTCAAAGACGCCTAGGGGGTCCCTGTGCACCCCCTCGCCCTCCCCTATGAAACCTTCTTTGCTCTCCGCCATTAGCATTTGTGATCAGTAAAACCCATTGGTAATTGTATCATACAGATTCCTTCTCCTGTCTTTTAAAATTGCCGCTATCTTGCTGTTCTTTGTCTACCTACAGTATTTTAGCCACCCCGTGGGGCCACATGTTTCCCCGGGACAGCAGCAAAGTTGAGCTAATGAGCTTGGGAATCAGAAAGGCCCAGCTTCAAAACCCCAGCGTTGCCTCTTAAGAGCCGCCCAGCTTTGGGTACAGCGCCTCTCCTGGCCATGATCTCCGCCTCCAGCCCCAAGGGGCGGAGCTCTGCCTCCTGGGCTCGGGGTCACCCTGGACTAAGCACCCACAGGGAACACTGAGCGGGGCGTCTGCGTTTGCAGGACAACGATTATGAAAACCCGGATGAACACTCCGACTCGGAGATGTACGTGATGCCCGCAGAGGAGAACGGCGATGACAGTTACGAGCCGCCGCCCGCGGAGCAGGAGATGAGGACAGTTCACCCAGCCCTGCCCTTCGCCAAGGGCGAGTATATAGGTGAGGCTCCCCCTCAGTCCCTGGGCACTCTGCCTGCCAGGCCACGGGGAGCGGCAAGGTGGGAGCAGACCCTGTTTCAGGTGGGAGCAAGCCTTGTTGCTACCTGAAGACCCTCCACCCACCTCTCTCCCACTCGGTCGCTCATGGGTAATGGAGCCCAAGGTGCAAAGCTTTCAACCCGAGGCAGACACAGGACTCAACCTAAATATCCGGGTTCTTGAAAATGGGGAGGTGGGGGTGGGGTTGCATCTCTCAGCCAAAATTAGTCCCCGCTTCGCTTAGAGATCCCTGCGTACAAAATGCCCAGAATTTCTCTGAAGAAGTTTGTACAGATCAAAGAATAGCTTTCAAAGCTACCTGGATGAGCTAATGATACTTACTCCCACCTCTTTCATCTGCAGACAGCCCTCCTCATGCTGGCTGGTCATCTACAAAGACTCTAAACTGTGAATTGTTCACTGGCAGGCCGGAAGGAGAGAGTTCTAAGTGAGCCAGTGAGCCTCAGAGGTTAAGTGCGCAAAGCCAGGCCCAGTCTTCCGGCCCAAGTGTGACTTGTAAGATGAATCCAGAAGAGGTCTGCGCTGTTGTTCTCAAGAGCACCCAGTGTGGGGAGAGCAGGTGTGCCCGTGGTGCTCGTGCCGTGCTAACACTTGTGCAGAGCTATCCCGTAGGGAAGAGTTTCCGCGTCCGTTCGAACTGCCAGGACAGCCTCCTGAACGATGCACCAGACACCACCCTTGCTTCCTCCCCCGGTGGGCCTGCTGAGCGTGTCATCACTGCCCATTCGGCGACAGCAGGACACGCGTGCTCCCCAGCTTTGTATCCTTTGCAATTCAGTGCCTTACACTCCTGGGCTGCTTCACTCTCTTCAGGGGTCCTCAAACTACGACCCGCGGGCCACATGCGGCCCACCGAGGACATTTATCCGGCTCGCCGGGTGTTTTTGCCCCGTTTGTATTTTCACTTCAAAATAAGATATGTGCAGTGTGCCTAGGAATTTGTTCATAGTTGTTGTTTTTTTAACTATAGTCCAGCCCTCCAAAGGGTCTGAGGGACAGTGAACTGGCCCCCGCTAAAAGCGTTTGAGGACCCCCTACTCTAGATCATCTTATATTTTAAAAGGCATCCACCCTGCTTTACAAAGCAGGAGAGTGAGGCTCATCAGCCTGGACTAAGCGGACCCAGGTTTCGTCCGTGTCTGCGCTGGCACGCCCACGCCCTTCACCCCACTGCGTCAGGCGCACTGTGTCTGCTAAGTGATTCCACTCCATCTTCACAACAGCCGGGGTCGGCTCATCTTAGAGACCAGGAAACGGCAGCTCAGTTGCAATGAAGGGGGTTAAGGGGTTCACCCAATGGTCACCTCTTCAAAGTACATCTTCCAAGGCTTCGCTGTTTCTGATGGACTTACATATTCTAAGCGCTTAAACTCCCGGAGCTGCAAATAAAACCGCAAAACTGGCAGAGGATCAGACACGATCCAGGGGGTATCCTACTGGTGAACGCCAGCTACACGATGGGAAGTCCATCTTGCACCTTCAGTGCCCGAAGAAGAGCAGAGATGTAGGACCATGACAGCGGGGACACCTGCCTCGAATGAGGGCTGGGTGGTCACAGGAGAAAGCACCAGGAAGCCAGTGGAAGCCTCTGTGCTATTCTGTTTCCCAGACAGGGAATGTCCACACCAGGTTAGGATTTTCCTAAAATGCCTCAATCTGAATCAGTGCCTACAGGACTAACCAGTTAGAACAGAGGCTTGCTACGCCCTCTGTCACATTAACTGAAACCAAACTCTGTGGCCATCAAGCTAATTCCGCTTCAGGGCCAACTGAGGACCGTGTAGATCTGCCCCACAATGTGTCCCGGGCTGTAAAGCTTCACAGACGCAGACTGCCACCCATGGGTTTGAACCGCCAACCTCTCACTTGGTAGCCAAGTACTTTAACTAGTATGCCACCATTAGTTCCAGAGCTTTGGCATGGACACTTTGGCAGTCCACCCCGATGCTTACTACTGTATGCCTAGCCTCCAAAATAATTCTCAAATTGTGATTATCATTTGCAAAGTGAGAAATGTGAGCTCCAGAGAGGTTGAATAACTAGCCCAAATGAACCTACGCAGTGAGTGACAGAACAGGGGACCGAACTAAGATCCACCTGACTTCAAATGGGACTCCTTCACTCAGTAATATGTGTTGTAAAAGACGCTGCTGGGCCAGGAAGAGCTATGGATTCTCCGTGGTTGGAGGTGCAGTCATTGAAAAAGGATCATGCAAGTTGACCCAGTCCAGCCATCCCACCCCTAGATATACTTTAGAATAACCTGGCAGGCATTTTAAGTCTAATAATGCCAGGTCCCCCCTGAAGATTAAAGTTAATAGTCCTGAAGTGGGGTCAGATATCAGCAGTTTAAAAAGCTCCCCAGGTGGTTCTGATGTGCCAGCAAGACAGAGAACCACAGCCCTTAAGGCCCCTTAGAGCAACATGAACCAAGGAGGATTCCGTGAGAGAGGTTGTTGTTGGATTCCCTGTTCGTGCGCAACCCATGTATTAGCACCGTAGAGTTTTCTTGGATGAAACTTTGACGGAAGCAGTTTGCGTGAACTTTCTACCATGGGACCACCGGGAGGGTTCAACTAGCTATCTTTAGGTTAGTGGCGCCTAACTCCTTGGGCATCCATGGGTGTGTCGGACTGGGTGATCTAGAGAAATAAACCAGTGACACCCATCTGTGTACAAGAAAGACCTCTATATCAAGAAGCAGCTTCACACCAAGAAGGCTCCCCTGCCCAGTCCAAGTCCGGTCCGTAGGCTGACGTTAACAGAAGGTGAAGTGGGGAAGCAGAGCGATCACAGGCCAGGGGCTGCAGAGCTGCAGGGTCCAAGGTCAGGGGAGAGACACGACAACTCTTAGGATCAGGTGGCCTACGTGGGGCTGCCCCTGGGGGCAGACAGAGTCCAAGCAAGGATGAAGGCAAAGGGTCACAGAGAGAGAGAGAGAGAGAGGAAGGAAGTTCCCAGTGTCTCTCTTATAAAGAGGCCACACCTCCCCGGAGGCACCATCCGGCTGTGACCTGGCTGCCAGGTTGGACTCCATTGCTCCAAAGTGACGGGTGACATAGCATTTAACCACCACAATACGCTTCACAGTTCCTGTGACCTCCATGTGCTAGGACGGCAGACTAAACCTTGCTCAGATCAGGAAGCCCCAGGCGATGGTTCTGAGGGCGAGATTATTTTTATAGTAAGGTGGTTGAAATATTTGGCTAACATGCTACTTTGTTCTAATTCACTCACTGTTTGGGTTATACAGATGCTCGCGGTTTGATATTTACTAGGTGTCAGATGGCCTCTACCCAGGGAATGATCCAGAGCTTCATCCGTCTTATGTTTCTTTCCTTTCAAGACAACCGCTCAAGCCAGAGACGGTCTCCACCTGTCAGCAAGACACTTCCCAGTAAGCCCAGCTGGCCTTCCTCGAAAGCCAGGCTCTGTACCACTCTGCCGTCCCCCGCTGCTCTTCTGAAGCCTCAAGTCCCTCCCAAGCCCAGAGAGCTCCAAGAGGAGGAGGTAAACTAACGCTGCCGCGAAGCTTCCTCCACAGGGTTCAATAGGAAAGAGAAGATGCATACTGCACCAAATACCATGCCTGGCACATAGGCGGGGGTTAATATATTGCATTTACCAAGAGTATATTCTAAATTATTTTTTTTTGAGTAAGAATATAACTATATTTTCTTACAGAGAATCCTAATATGGACTCAACACTTTTTCAAATTTACAAGATAAAACAAGGCTTAGAACTGGATCACTTGGCCCTTTCTCTTCTTATCACCTCCCAGTGCAGACTGATTGCACTTTTAATGGCCAGCATCCTCTCGGACCTACATTAGGCTCAGCACATTGAAGCCTCAGTACGCTCTGCTTTGTGGTTTTAGCCTACTTCCAGAAAACTGGCTTTGTCTGCCCACCATAGTCACTCTGCTTCTGCTTCTGTAGCGCCTCTTTCCTTGCGCGTACAGGAATCCTCGCCCTTCTTATCCTGGGTCACTGTGTGAGGTTAATGCTTGCCACACTTCTTACAGAAAGTTCTTCGGGTCTTGGGTCCATTGGCCATCTTCGCAGAGATATGGTCTACACAGCGTAAACAGGAACCCGAGAGTCTGCAAGCCTCGCCTCACTCCTCTAAATTATTTTTTAAAGATCCCAACTTCTAGTTTCTCTTGGAAACTGAAGACCTGGCAATACTGGGCCCGTGTGGTCTCAGAGCAACTGAGCCTCCAGCTCAACTGAGTTCTGATCCCTTTCCCTACTTACAATGGGAGACCTGATGGCACAGGGGTTAAGCTTTCAGCTGGGAGCCACAAGGTCAGCAGTTGGAATCTATCAACACTTTTCCAGAAGAAAGTTGAAGCCAGCTGCCTTTGTAAAAGATTTATAGCCTGGAAAAATCCCAGAAGGCAATTCTACTCTGTCCCTATGAGTCCATCAGTGGCAGTGGATTTGTTGTTGTGTGTGTGTGTGTGTGTGTGTTGTTTTGTTTTCCTGTTAGCCAGCAGTCTCTATCATGACACACCCATGCACCCACCCTTACCCATGCACCTGCTCCTGTAAGCACTGTAGTTTTTGACTCAGCTATACATTTCTATGAGTTGGAATCAGTTTGACCACAGCGAGGTTTTAGGGCTACTTTGAGGAGGAAAGTTACCAGACTCAGAGGGAGGAAGTGTGCCTGTTGGTCTGAGAGGTGATGTGCTTTCAAGGTGTGCTTAGGGAGTGGGAAGAAGCGGTAAGGTGGACAGGGGTTAGGCTAGGCACACTAGCTTCAAAAGACCACTGACATCACTCTAACCAAGTTTTTGTGATGTGCACATGGAAAAATTGAGTTTGTATTAAAATATTTCATCGATGCCAAGATGCTTTTTTTAGCATACAAAAGGTGATGATTCTTAATTACCTATCTATTTTGGCAGATAACATTATTTTGAGATCTTGAGTTGTAATACTGAGGATATAGAGTATACATCCACTCTCCTTCTACCATCTATCGAATGGCAGAGAGGCAAAGAGAGACTGCAAACAGAATTTTCCTGGACTGAATCCAAGTTGGGTCTTTTGTTTGTTTTTCCCTCTCATTGCTCTTTGGGACGTAACATTTTTCAACACCAGAAACACCATGATTCCAAATAGGTCAGATCCAAGATACGAGAAATTAACAAATTTCCACTATAACTTGGTATTTGGGGGAATGCAGAACTGAGAACCCAGAAAAAGGTAATTCTGAGGTGGAAGGGTTAGGGAAAGTTTGGTGGGGCGTGGTGCTTCCAACTTTTATAATAACTCAATTATGCCACTAAACCCCATAATGCAATCCAGGTATCATTGCTGATTGCCAATACCAGTGTTCTGTGTTCAGATATAAGACACGGGAGAATTCTGAAGAAAGAGAATGAAAATGCCACTTCCGTGAAGAGAAGGTAGAAAGAGGATGTGAAGAGGCGGAGAAGGAAGGAAAGGACTAGGGGGCAGTGGATAACAGAAGGGGTGCTGGATATTTGAACTCTCTGGGTTCAAATCCTGGCTCTGCTTCTTTTAACTGTAAGACCTTAAGCAGTTACTCGAGCTAACTCTCTTGTGCTTCAGTTTCCTCATCCTGAAATCGGGCTGATAAGGTGAGTTCTTATCAGGATTAAGTAAGATAACACACGTAACACAGAAAAGTACCTGGCATATATTAAGTGCTCAGAAATATTTGTTCTTTCTCAGAATATCCATCTTGGTTAGACCAGAGAAAAATGTAAAAAGCCACTTTGGAGATCTGGTTATTTCATTTTCCCTTTATTGATATAAAATCGGTCCCTCCCTACATTTATGATTAGCTGATTATCACCATGGTGTCAAGACAACGAGAGAAAAACAGTTTCTCAGCAAATTTTCCTAGGGCAACTGGATATCTACATGCAAAAGAATTAAGCTGGACCCCTGCCTCACACCATATACAAAACACAATTGAAAAATGGATCATAAGGTTGTGCAGGATGGTCAAGCAAGTGGACACATCCATTTACTTCCCTGATAATTATAATCAAAAGTATCAGCCACAACAAAGTAATTAGCAAGTATTGTTGAGGATATAGAGAAATGGAAACATTTGTGCATTGCTAGTGGAAATGTACAACAGTGTGTCAGTTCCCCAAACTGCTAAATACACAATTACCATGTGGCCCAGCAATATACCACTCCTAACTACATACTAAGAGAAACTAAAATCACGACATTGTTCACAACAGCCAAAAGGTGAGATCAACCCTCATGGCACACACTGATGAGTGGACGAACAACATGCAGTGTCTCCCGATAATGGAATAGTATTTGGCCATAAAAAGAAATGAAGCTCTGATACACACTACAACCTTCGTCGTCCTAAAAACATTACGCTCAATGAAAAAAGGCACAAAAGACTACACAGCATATGGCTTCTCCATTTAGACGGAATGGCCGGGACAGGCAGATCTGGACTCTGGGGAGGAGAGTAGTTGTTGGTTAGAAGTGGGTGTTGGGAAGGCAACGAGCAATGAGTGCAGGCTTCCTTTTGCGGACAAGGAGAGCCTTCTAGAGCTAGATTGTGGTGATGGTGGCACAGCTCTGTGGACAGAATTAGAACTAATGAATTATATACAGTACTTTAAGCAAGGGGGCTTAATAGTATATTAATTATATCTCAATCCAAAATGTTTAAAATCATCCTCTCCCATACAGGAAAACACACATTTACAGTGTTCCCGTTGTTCATTTCTTTTAGGCCGATTATGTCGTCCCTGTCGAAGATGAAGATGAAAACTATATTCATCCCACAGAAAGCAGTTCACCTCCATTTGAAAAAGGCAAGATTTGTAGTTTTAAGCACGTGAAAACTTTTATCAATTGATTAAGGCATCCAAGACTACTTGGTGATAAACTCACTTGGGCTGGTCTCTCTTCTCTGTAACCACAACATTTGTCCTTCTTTGGCTTGTCCAGCAGAGAGCACCAGTGAGTGACCCAGCTCTTGGTCTCATGGCCTTTGTTCCACCCTCCGTATACTTTCATGATTCAAGACGCCCATCTCTAATTGTGAAGATACCTGGGCACTTCTCTCACCTTCAGTCAGCACAGATTTTTCCTAAAACCTAGTGCTCAAAAATCCACAAGCCGCTGAAGTGACACTACAAATATTGCCCTAGGAACCCTTTCTGCAGAAGACTAAAGAAATGGAAGAGTGAAATAGGCTCTGGATCCTGGTTTTAGAACTTCAGTTCTCTCTCAGGTCCATGGTGGTGGTGTTAGGTTGGTCCCGGCTCATAGTGACCCTGTGTACAACAGGAAAACACACTGCCCAGTCCTGTGCCGTCGTCACAATTGTTATGTTTGAGCCTGTTGTTGCAACCACTGTGTCAGTCCATCTCATGAAGAGTCTTCCTCGTTTTCCTTGCCCTTCTATTAGCAAGAGCCCTGGAGGCACAGTGGTACTGCAGTGTGCTGCTCCCTCGACCGGACAGTGTTTCCCTTAAGTGTGAATTCCCCTCAGTGGGATATATCTGTAATCACGTGTATATTTATATATTTAAGCTCCCATGGTGAACAGATCAACCAAGCCAAGTAACTCTGCAAAGCCAGCCTCTCCTCCAGGCTCAGCTTCAGGTAAAGTACATGCATGCTTTGGGTTGGATTTTAATCTTGCTCCAAATCAGATAAATAGCTCACATAAACCATGAAGAAGCAGTCACCTGTGTATCGAAATTTCGTAAAAAATGGTGACCAACCGCCTCCTCCTCATCGTCATCTGCTGCTGTCTGCTTGCTCTTGTTTAAAGAAAGCTCACCCTCTCTGTTAGCGGACATCCTACCGTGCTGAGCGTTTTCTCCTCCTTCTCGCTTCCCTTGACGGAGGCTGTCCCCACAGCTCAGCCTTCACACCTAGCTCTTCTTTCAGGATAATGTCCCATTTGGAAGGGTGGGTTTTGGATTATGTCCGATAAAAGTGTTTTAACAAGAAGAAGAAAGAAAGTACGGGTGTTGAGTAGCGCTTCGAAGTGGTTCTTCCTGACTCAGTCATGGCTGAGCAAATGAAGCTGGATCAATTCGAATTTGCAAGACGTGGGTCTCTGGACAATAACTGAAATGGGGAAAACCTGCTAGAAACTTAATATTCCCCTTAGAAAGCAAAGGTACCATGTGCACCACATAGTAACCCAATCTCTTGAGGGACAGAGTTTGAAACAGCGGCGCCCACTTCAGAGATGGTGGCTGACCCCGCCGCTTTGAATGCAGGTCTCACAGATCTGCCAATAAAACAAATTCCCACGTGGCCTCCTGAAAGAGCTCACTGTTTTGAGTCCCCCTTCCGCGTCTTCAACCCACAATTCTTCCATTTCCAGTCATCCAGGCACCCACATTTTGCAAATGCTGGTCTGCTCCAATTTCCCTCCCTAGGCCATGACTAAACCAGTTTGAACTGGTTTTGAAGCACTGACTTCGAGTCACCCAGACTTGGACTGGAATCCCGGAGCCCCTACAAGTCTTATTAGGAATGGAGGACTTCTACATGTGTTAGGCGTTTGCTAATCATTTCAGAGTCCCTGGGTGTAGGAACTGTTCAACTCTTGACTGTCAACCAAACTTTGGCTGTTGGAACCATCAGGAGGTGCCTAAAAGCAGAAGAGAGGTGTCGTTCCCCTGCTTTCATGGGCAATAACAAAGCACCCCAGGATTCCCCTCATCCTCCTCCCACATGAAGGCGGTTCTCCCAGCATGTGAACCTGACCCGTCAAACTGTCCCTGTGAGATGTGGTTGGAGAGAAAGTGACTGCCTCGGCACTAGGCTCGGACATCCCTGATTTTGAACCTGGGTCCTGCCACTTGCTAACTGTTTTGCAACCACTCGTCTCTGAGCATCTGTTTCTCTTGCGGTACGTGAGGTCTACAGCTGGTATATTTCAAGTTTCTGGCACAGTGCCCCGTTCCGGCAGACCCTGATGGTCGATGATAAGACGAGATCGCACTCACAATAATAATCAGAAGTATCGGGACCACTTACTGAGTTGTCACTGACAAGTCCTAAAACACCCATTTTATAGGTGCAAGTCAATGATTTCTAGGAAATGTGCAGAATTACGTGACTCTCACCAGAGTCCAGCTTCAGAAAATTTCCACTCCTTTCTCCCAGCAAAAGAGTTTCATCCTGCCCCTTTGCAGTCAATGCCGTTCATTGCCCCCGTCAGTCCCAGGCAACCACCAATCTGATTTTGGTTGCGATAGATTTGCCTTTTCTGAATGTTACATGAATGGAGTTGTACTCGATGGAGCCTTTTGATCTGTTTCTTTTCATTCTGTAGACCATCTTCGGTTTGAATTATTTTCCAGCAATAGTACTTTACATATGGCTAGTTCTTTGGTTGTTGTTTTTTCAATCATTTTATTGGGGGCTCGCACATCTCTTTTCACAATCCATACATACATCCATTGTATCAAGCACATTGTACATTTGCTGCCATCATCATTCTCAAAGCATTTGCTTTCTACTTGAGCCCTTGGTATCAGCTCCTCATTTCTCCCCTCCTTCCCCACCCCACCTCCCTCACAAACCCTTGATAATTTACAAATTATTATTTTTTCATATCTTACACTGTCCGATGTCCCCCTTCACCCACTTTTCCATTGTCCGTCCCTCAGGGAAGGGGTTATATATAGATCATTGTGATCTGTTCCTCCCTTTCTCCCCCACCTTCCCTCTACCCTCCCGGTATTGTTGCTCTCACCACTGGTCCTGAAGGGATCATCTGTCCTGGATTCTCTGTGTTTCCATCTCTTATCTGTACAGTGTATATGCTCTGGTCTAGCCAGATTTGTAAGGTAGAATTGAGATCATGATAGTAGTGGGGAGGAAGCATTAAGGAACTAGAGGAAAGTTGTATGTTTCATCGGTGCTATACTGCTGCACCCTGACTGACTTGTCTCCTCCCCGAGACCCTTCCGTAAGGGGATGTCCAGTTGCCTACAGATGGGCTTTGGTTCTCCATTCCCCACTCCCCCTCATTCATAATGCTATGATATTTTGTTCTTTGATGCCTGATACCTGATCCTATTGACACCTCGTGATTACACAGACTGGTGTGCTTCTTCCATGTGGGCTTTGTTGCTTCTCAACTAGATGGCAACTTGTTTAACTCCAAGCCTTTAAGACCCCAGATGCTATCTATATCTTTTGATAGCCAGGCACCATCAGCTTTCTTTACCCTATTTGCTTATGTACCCGTGTCCATCTTCAGTGATCGTGACGGGAAGGTGAGCATCATGGAATGCCAGGTTATTAGAACAAAGTATTCTTGCATTGAGGGAGTACTTGAGTAGAGATCTAATGTCCACCTGCTACTTTAATACTAAACCTATAGATATATGCACATAGATCAATTTCGATCTGGGATGTTCTTATCTGATCTCAAGAAGTTATTTCTGAGGAGAAAAGAAGAAAGGGAGGTGTCTGAGACAATTTAGAGATATGAAGGAAAGGGAGCTTAGTAGTAAAATCGGCAGTTAAGCTGACAAAGATAATGTACCAAGGCCATCGGAGCCCTTGGCATTTGAGGGGGAAAATCCGTGAAGGAAATTCTGACTTTGAACCTCTCACTTCCTTATTTTTCAGACAAGATTGGGTTTCCCTCCCCAGAAATCTTCCACCAAAATCTCTGATACACTAGCGGATTACACACAATTGGAATCCCTACTGCATATGCAGATAACCTTTCAGCTTATTTTCATGTGAAACACAGAAGTTCCAAATATAGTCTCTTTTGCAAAATGCTTTGAAATAAAGTCTCTCCAGGTGCGTTAACATGCAAGTAGAAATATCCACCTGGACTACTTTGTATTGTTAGGGAAGGCTGTTGTACTGAATAAGTACCCCCACTCCCCTCTTTGTGACTGCTTGTTTGGTCCTGCGTGTTTACGGAGATTAGCCCCGTGTGTTCATATTGTGTGTAAGAAAGAAGTAAGTGTGCTCTGGGGGAAAACCCGAGGCCTTCCCCCTACTCACGCGCAGGAGGATGTATTTTGTGGTCTCTGTTTGAATGCCGCAGGTGGGCATCTTCTGTGTTTGGAGCAGGTGGTCCCGTCAAATGCAATGCTGTGGGGTGCGCACGTCTTCCCTCCCCGTCCTAGTGTGACCCTGAGAGGGCAGAGACCTCGTTCGACTCCTTCACCTCTGCCCCAAGTCCCAGCGCAGGGCCTCCGTGTGCTTTCTACGCCTCAGGGACTTGAGAAATCTTGGAAATTGAATTACTTGTGTTTTGTCTTCTCTGACTTCATTGTGCCTTAATCGTAACAAGCCAAGACCATCCATACTGAGAGTAGCGGGTCCCAGCTGTAGTTATAGATCTGCCCCGCCAATCTTACCAAGAAGTGTGCACTTGTACATTTAGTAGGGACCTCAGAAAGGATAGCGGAGTACACGTTGGACTGCTAAAGGCAAGGTCAGCAGTTTGAAATCACCTGCCACTCTGCAGGAGAAAGAGGAGGCTTTCTACTCCAGTAAAGAGTTACAGTCTCAGAAACCCACAGGGAAGTTCTACCCTGTCCTACAGGGTCCAGACTTGAAGCCTGACTTGTTTATATGTATACACAGGTCGGCACAGCGGGACCTGGGAGTCGAAGCTACCTTCTTTGCCTGCAGTGCCATCCCCACTGCCGAGAGTCGGGTGAGTACCTGTTGCAGAGAAGAAGCTGAGAGAAATAGGCCTGCCGCCGCCGAGTAGCAGACTTCCCTTAGTCCCAGACTTAACGACGAGGGCTTGCTTCTGCAGACTTCCAGGCAACCGATGCTTCCGTTTATCCCAATGAGCCCCTTTCCCAGCTGTGAGAGGACTCTGTCTGACATCAGGAGGATCATAACGAGGTCCAGCTGCCATCTCTCTCTACCACTAAGGATGCTCTTGCATTTGTTTCATAATTTTAGCTCAAATTTCAGAGTAAAATGCTAAGTGGCCATCTCCAATTGATTTCATTGTGGCTTAATAATGCCAATCTCTTTATGCCGCAGGAAGAAGCCAGCCACGCCACTGAAGACAGTAAGTTAAATTTGCACTTAAAAGTCCTTCACATGTCCTGCGATGTTTATTCTTGTCCACGTGTCTCAAGTTGGAAATGCTTCTGGCTAAAGTGAACATGATCATCTTAGCAAGTGAACTGTCTGCCCAGATGGTCCAAGAGAGACTTCAAATGATGTTAGCCATAGAAGTTTCTGCCTAGCGGGGGCATCCCTGCTTGGTCCCAGAAGCTTTTCTGAGTGTGTACAGCAGATCAGAGATCTCTTGTCAGGGCCTGCCTCCCCCCATATGTGTCTTGCTCACAGAAGCTCTGCCCTAACCCATGTGTCCAATATCCATCCACTGACCTCGAAGCTAGTGGCTGACCACTGTGTATCAAGCACACTAATACACCATGCGGTCATAGCACAGAGGCCTACGCTACTCCAAATATGAGTAGATGCCCACCTTGACCTGCTACCTGCCCTGCACCCTGATATACATGATCCCTTATCAAGAGCAGCGAATTATTTATCAAAGTCAGATGCCAGAATCCTACTGCATGAGCACTGCTTCCTGGGCAGGGCCTGTTGGCTATGGTATCCATCAACATTGTTCATGAAGCAGAGAGGTCCCCAAACTAAGACAGCACTTCCCTTTCCATGAGATGTGTCCAGCTAACTGGTCATTGACCAGGGGAGCTAGGGGTTGTGTGCTTTTAACTGATGTTTGGGGACTGAAAGAATGTATCGAAGAAAAGTTCTCCTAAAATATTGATTTTAATAATGCTGCTTTACATTAGTAGGCCACTGGAGATCCCCTTGCAGAGGGGTCTCGGGGAGGAGATGAGCCAGTCACGGTGCGATGTAACAATGATGAGAAATACAACCTTCCTCTAGTTCCTAAAGGTTTCCTCCCCGCTCCCACTACCATGACTCGAATTCTATCTTGCAAGACTGGCTAGACCAGAGGAGGTACACTGGTACAGATAGGAACTGAAAATACAGGGAATCCAGGACGGATGAGCCCTATAGGACCAGTGGTGTGAGTGGCAAAACAGGGAGGGTAAAGGGAGAATGAGTAGGAAAGAGGGAACCAATTACATGGAACTGTGTGTGACCTCCTCCCTGGGGGACAGACAACCAAAAAGTGGATGAAGGGAGACGTCGGACAGGGCAAGATATGACAAAATACCCATTTACAAACTATCAAGGGCTCATGCAGGAGGGGGGAGCGGGGAGGGAGGGGAAAAATGAGGACCTAATGTCGGGGGTTTAAATGGAGAGAAAATGTTTTGAGAAATGATGTACAAATGCGCTTTACACAATTGATGTGTGTATGGATTGGGATAACAGTTGTATGAGCCCCTAATAAATGTTAAAAAAAATAAAATAAATAAAAAATAAAAATCCAAAAAAAAAAAATAATAATGCTGCTTTGACTCATCTTTCCACATTTAGCTGATGGATTATCTTTGTCTTGCTCTTTTTATCTGTCCTTACAGACTCCAATCACCTCTCAGCAGAATGCATCAGGTGTTTGTGAAGGTAAGCCTAGATGCTATTTTGAAGGATAAGCATGTTTGCTAAAGTTGGTTGCATTGAAGACATGTACAAGTGTGTTTCTACATTTATTTTATTATGAGGTGATTATAAATTTGAAACTCAATTTTCTAAAGAAAAATGATCTTCACTGTGCAACGCATGGTGGGGAGCAAAGTTCACAGAAAGCGAGCTTACTGGGTGGAGTCCTTGGGACAGCCTACAGTCTACCTCAGAGGTTCTCCACCTTCCTCAAGCCGTGACCCCTTCATGCAGTGCCTCATGTGGTGCTGACTCCCCAACCATAACATTATTTTCATTGCCACTTCATCACTGTCATTTTGCTACTGTTATGAATCGGGCAACCCCTGTGAAAGGGTTGTTCGACCCCCAAAGGGGGTCGTGACCCACAGGTTGAGAACCGCTGGTCTACATATTCAAAACCCACCTATTTGCAGACATGAATGCTTTGTCAAGAGACAGTGCAAGTAGCGCTATAGAGGTGCGAAGACAGTCAGTGTCTCTCATTTCTTAGAAGTAAGAAATGAAAAAAATGAATCTGTGTATTCCTTTGCTAAACCTTCCAAATAACAGTTTCAAAATTCTCTTGGTGTATTTTCAAATGGTTTGTTCATTTTATCACCAGTCAGAAGCTCCACATATTGTTTCAGCTAGAACATTCCCGCTCTAAAAACTAATCAGACTTGACAACTACTGAGGAAAACCCCACAAGTCACAGCAATGAAACATGACACAGACCCTGATGTTCCGCTGCCCGTCTGACTTCACACTTGAAAGCACCCCAGCTTGAAATCCGACAGTCGGGATTCTTCTCACCCTTTCCTGAGCTCATGTGGGCATCTCGACAGCGCTGTGCCTCGTGCTCTGGCGTCCGAGAACGGATCATTTCTGAATGTGCACTTCAACTTTCTCTGCTCGCGTTGCTCTGGTGACTTGTCTCCCACCCGTGCCCCATGTCCTTTCTCCTCGGGCTGTGTCCTTCAGCCTTTCCTTTGGTGCTTGGGTCTTCCTGTCCCTCCATTCCTTGTCTGTCATGGCTGCTGATGAGGGAGCATGGAATCCTCACGAAGACACAGGGGCTCTGAAACACGGAAAGAAGTAAGTGTGTCCCTGTACACAGTCCATGGCTGCAGGAGCCTCCACCCACAGGAGAGAAAAGTGCTCGTGGTATTGCTAATCCAGTGGCTCTCAGCCTGTGGGTCCCAACCCCTTTGGGGGTCAAACGACCCTTTCACAGGTGTCGCCCGATTCATAACAGTAGCAAAATGACAGTGATGAAGTAGCAATGAGAATAATGTGGTGGTTGGGGTCACCCCCACATGAGGAGCTGTATGAAAGGGTCGTGGCATGCTCTGATCCTTAGATTACCAGAATTAGCTTCTTATCTTCTCCAGAGAGAAAGAATACTCTGGTCAGACAGAGGCGATGCTGGAGGGGTTCTTAGCAGCCCCTCGGAGGAGGAGCTATACCTAATGCAGTCCAGATGCATGTGATCCAGGGCTCCGAAGGGTTCCAGCAGGGTGTGGTGGGGTGCGTTCTGCATTGGGACCCCGAACCATAAGGTCAGCAGTTTGAAACCACCAGCTGCTCCCGGGGAGACTGATGAGGCTTTCTACTCCTGTTTGAGAGTCAGCCTCACATACCCACAAGGCACTTCCACGCTGTCGTGTAGGATCACTGTGAATCACAATCAACTCGATGGCCGAATGTTTGGCTTTAGTTTTTTGAGTGAGGTGTGAGAAACTCTGGGAACTTCAGTGCAACATCGTCTGCCCACCTCACCCCCACCCCCATAACATTGAGAACAAAGAATTCTGGGGAATGTAGTCCACAAGATGGCACTGGTTCTTGATCTCTGGGGCACTATCTGAAAAATAGCTTAAAAGCTTCATGAAGACAGAGGAGGCTGGCCCTAGAGTTTCTGGGAGCTCCCCTCCCATCAACAGCACAAGAGCGTGACTAGCACGTGTGTCTCTCTCGAGCTGGCACGACTTTGCTCTCCTGCCTGCTCTAACAGGAGAATTTTCCTATTCCAGACAAACCTATACCAGCCGAACGTCACCGAGGATCTAGTCACAGACAAGAGGGTCTGCCCTTACCGGTGTTGCCGCCCACCCAGAAGTAAGAATCCATGCTTTCCCATGAGCTGGTGCCCAGGCCTGCTCTGTTCGCTCACCGGGGAGCTGCCTCGTCAGGGTGCTGCAGGTCTGCTATTGCACTGTTTTGCCCTTAACGTTAAGTTTCTAATTGCACAGTTGTGCAATTAAATAAAAACAGTGCTAATTTCGTAATAGTTTTAAAAAGCCCGCTAAGAGTTGCAGAGACTTACCCTGCAAACTCCTCTTAGTTCTTACATATCACTAAACGCAGATGCCTTAGTCCAGGGCCCTCCTTTTCCAGCGAAAGACAAGAGTTTTACTGGTACCTACCCCGGCCATTTACCTTGACTCCTTTGTAGCATGCAGCGCCTCTCTTTGTGTGTGAGGAGGGCACAGCAGGGTCGACAAGAGCGAGACTTACTCACGTGGTGCTTGACCTTCTAATTCATATGAAATCCTTTCTTTCAGACAAATTCATCACAAACCTGTACCTCTGCCAAGTAAGTGCATCGAAGTTGTGAGCAGCGCTATCAGGTAGCATCTTAGCATCTGATGCATCTGGGTCCTAACACCAACAAGGCCACTTCCAACTGGATGAGCTTACCATTGTCTCCCCGCTATTGGCTCATTTATAAAATGAGGTCAAGAATCAAGACTCTAACTCACAAAATTATTTGAAAAGGAGATTTTTTTCCCCCATTAATAGAACTTTATTATTTTTAAAAATCTTTTGTTGGGGGCTCATACAACTCTTATCATAATCCATACATACATCCACGGTGTCAAACACATTTGTACATCTTTTGCCATCATCATTCTCAAAACATTTGCTTTCTACTTGAGCCCTTGGTATCAGCTCCTCATTTTTCCCCTCCCTCCCCACTCCCCCTCCCTATGAACCCCTGATAATTTATAAATTATTATTGCTTTGTCATATCTTACACTGTCTGACGTCTCCCTTCACCCACTTTTCTGTTGTCCATCCCCCAGGGAGGAGGTCATATGTAGACCCTTGTAATCGGTTCTACCTTTCCACCCCACCTTCCCTCCACCCTCCCAGTATTGTCACTCTAAGCACTGGTCCTGAAGGGATCATCTGCCCTGGAGTCCCTGTGCTTCCAGTTCCTATCTGTACTAGTGTACATCCTCTGGTCTAGCCGGATTTGTAAAGTAGAAATGGGATCATGATAGTGGGGGGAGGAAGCATTGAAGAATTAGAGGAAAGTTGCATGTTTCATCATTGTTACACTGCACCCTGACTGGCTTATCGAAAAGGAGATTTTTTTAAAGATAATTTTTGCGTTTGCTCTTTTTAGTTCTAAATTAATATTTCTATTGGCTGTGTATATCTTCCCTCACTTACCCACTAAACAAAAGAAGCTATTTTCAAAATGAGATGGATAACTAAAACAATATATAAGAAGTTCCGAGTGTAGTGGTCAATAAATGCAAATCCTTCAATAAATGAGTACCATTTAACAGCTACAGTACATGTTGATTAATGTACAATACAGCTACAATTCGCATCTGAGAAGAAGACCTTGAAACTATCTGGATAATTCTCCCAAGACAAACCATCTATCACCCTAAAAGTATGTGAAATAGATAAGTCAGGTTTGCTTATCTACTCAATACAGAAAACAAAACAAAACCTACTTGGGTAATTTAGAAAATATTTAAAAGTAATTAAGATGAAATTAGTTTAAATAAACAGAATATAATCATATACAAAAAGATTATGTTCAAAAAAGCACAAATCAGTTGGTCAGTTTTAATTAAATTTTTGATTCATCTTAAATAAGTAAAACAATTACCAAGCACAGTTCTTTTTTATTGACAGTACAAAATTAAAATTATTTGATTACAGCAATGTGTCAATATTGAAATGCTTTATTATTATTATTATTTTTCTGTTTCTCGATCCAACCCACTCTTTCATAACATAATGTCAGGTAAATAATCAAGTGCTATGAATAACAAACACTACAGCAGAAAGGCAGAGGATGGAATGTAGACTGTAATGGAAGCAGTGAGGGGTGAAGTTCAGATCCGGAGAGTCTCATAAGTAAAACTGGGTTCCATAACTACCGAAACAGGGATGGAATAAAGACAGAATGAGCTAATGAGTAGAAAACAGAAAAGGCCTGGCACATATTCAGAGCTTCAAAAATGTAAGTCATGCTACTCCCCCAAATGAACTACTGTTTTTACTCCCCCAAATGAACTACTGTTTGTTGCGTGTCTTGGAAAAGCCAACTACCCTCTCCCCTCGGCTCCTCCCACTGGGGAGCACTGAGGCCCCACCTACTAGGACACAGCCTTCCTTCCGGTCAAGCTTGCAGCACCAGATGCTCTCCAAGGGTGGCTTCCTCCTTTGACTGTGTAGGGTACAATCATCTGAAGTATTGAGCACAAACCCGTCCCTCCTGCAGACTTCTTCATATTAATCAATGATAACTCCGGCCACTTTGGCCAAAAATCTTAGTGAGGCCTTGACTCCTCTCCTTCTTTCATAAACCTTGCAGCAATTTCTTCAAAAGATATCAGGAATCAGTCACTCTCACTACTTCCACTGGAAGCCAATAGTTCCAAGCTACCACCATCTCCTGCCTGGGTTTACAAGAACACTGACCTGACCTGCCCTCTCTGCCCTTGCTCCTCTCTATTTCCAGCACACTAGTCAGAGTGATCTTTCTACTCTTCTGTTCTAAACCCTCCGAAGGCTCCCTAAACTACATCTCATTACAGCTTACGTCATGATGAGAAGCCATCAGGGCCTGTAAACCTGGTCTCCTCATTGCCTCCTACGTGACCTCATCATTTATGTTTCTTCCCCTTGCTCACTCCTTTGGGGGAGCTATCGGGTAAGAATTGCCTGCTAACCACAAGGTTGGTGGTTCAAACCCACCAGCCACTCCTCAGGAGAAAGATGAGGCTTATCTGCTCCCATAAACATTTGCAGTCTCAGAAACCCTACATAGGGTCACCATAGGTCAGAAGCAACTCAATGGTAATGGATTTTGTCACTGCACTCCAGGCACAGTGACCCCCTTGCTTTTCCACAAACATGCCAGGCACACTCCTGCCCCAGAGGTCTTATTGCAGTCACCTGGGGCGCTTTTACACTTTTTCCTCAAATATTCCTCCTCCTCCCTACTTGCCTGCACTTCTTCTCCAAAGGTTACCTTGGTAAAGCCTTCTCTAATATGCCTATTAAAACTTACTGCCTACTCAAGATTATGGAGCTCTAGTGACACAGTGGGTTAGTGAGTTGGGCTGCTAACCACAAGCTCAGCAGTTCAAATCCACCAGTGGCTCTGCAGGAGAAAGATAAGACATTCCAGTCCTAGAACGAGTTACAGGCTCAGAAAGCCATAGGGGCAGTTCTACCCTGCCTTATAGGGTCACTGCCAAGCACATAATAATGAATGACGAATGAATGAATGAACACAATCAAAGTGTTTTCGCGATTGCATGTGTCTCCTTATCTGCCCTATCATCTCCTGGAGAGAGTCCTTGCCTGCAGGCAGCAATTCTCAGACTCTTTGTTCACACCCCTTTAACATGCTTAAAACATTGCACACTCAAAGGACTTTGGGTAATGGCTTTTCTTTCTAGTGGCAGGTAATGTGGTCACAATTCAAACAGACATTTTAAAATGTTCATTCATTCATTTAGGATGATTTTAGATTCATTACATGTTAATGCAAATAGCATATTCTTACGAGCCATTGTATTTTCCAAACAAATATTTTTAGCGAGAGGAGTCACCTCATGTTATGTTTTCGTAAATCTCTTTACACTGTCTGGAACAACCGGAGAGCTGGATTCCCAGATGTGCTTTTGCATTCCGTCTCTTGCATAGGTCAAAGCAGATGAAGAAAATAGGGCATCAAACAGATATGTAATTGGAAAAGCGAAAACCTCATGCACCCCCTGAAAGGGCCTTTGAGATCAGACCTGCAGAACTGGTGCCTTACGATGGGGTTTGTGGGTCCTCTGCAGCACCCACCAAAGTGATGGGGATATTTCTCAAGAAAAACCAAGACTAATTGATGTTTGAAATCCCTTTCAGGATTTATGGACGGGGGAAGCCCAACCGTGGATGCGCCCCTACCAAGCTTTGCATCGAATTCCCATTCGTCAGAACAGGTATGAAATGAACTGCAGGTAAGGGCCTGCCCTCTGATGAAAGAAAGCATCACGCAAAGCTGAAGAATAGAGCATTTCCATCGGTTTTGAGTAGCCATTTTCTAGTGAGTCTCCATGATTAAGACCTTGCGCATTTATTTCTATGTAAATTCCAGGTGTCTTAAATAACAACTCAAGTTTCTTCAAAAGTAGGGAAAGAAGTGTGTTGTCTTCATTGTTCCTCCTCTCACATAGATTTTATCTAAATGGTCAGGATAGATTTATTTAAATCTCCAGAATAGATCTGTGGAGTTGATGGTATCACAACACATACAAGACTGTACAGTTAAAGAAAGTCTAAGCTGGGCCTTTCTCGGCTGTCAACTGAGGCCATCATCTGTCCTTCCCATCACAGCAGTTGAGAGACGCAAGTAAGATATTTGTAAAACACTTTGCAAACTAAAATCACTCCACCAATCAAAGGCAATGACAGAACAGTTGCAGGAGAGTTCACGATTTAGTTCCAAAAAATATATCAATGATTCAGGAACCTAGCAGGATTTATTTGTTCTGCCCAAATATGACAGGCAAGGTCAAAGGTGGGGGAGAGGGGGCAGAGAGTCAATGATATTTTGATGGGTGATCAAAGGAAACCTAAGGCTCATTTTCTCCTTATGGATTCTACTGTAGTTAGACCTGTCTTGGTAATGCAAAGTGAGCCTTACGCACAGAAGTTACTTGGTCTTGAAAAGCCATGGCCTGTGTAATAATGTCGTCTACCATTTCACAGGAAGCTGACGTCCACCTTAAGCCATGGTATGCGGGTGCCTGTGATCGAAAGTCTGCAGAGGAAGCATTATACAAGTCAAACAAGGTTTGGTGCCCTCGGTCTATAATAGATGGAGTTACTGTCCTGATGATGTGCTCATTAAAAATAATTGCAATGATTATGAATACAAGGATTTTTTTTTTCCTTTACTGAATCAATAAGGACTACCATCCTGTCAGGTCTCATTCAAGCATTTCTCTCTGTTTTGCCATCTCATCTCTACTTGTCCCTTTATCTTTACAAGGACCCACAGCTTAGCTGATCTCCAGTGGAAGAGAAGGCTTGGTGGGGGGCGGGGGGGGAGCGCACTGTAAGGTGTGGTGCTACATGAGATCTATTCAAGATGAACCAAAACCCTACACCAAACTCCCTGCCATCGAGTCAATGCCAACTCCTAGTGACCCTATAGGACAGGGCAGGATTGTCCTGTGAGTTTCCAAGATTTCAAATTTACAGAGAGGCGGGTGGTTTCAAACGGATGACCTTGCAGATCACAGCCCAACACATAACCACTACACCACCAGGGCTCCTCCAGGAGTGAGAAGTGACAGGCTAATGTGGATCACTGCATGGGATAAAAAATTCGAGTCAAGGTGACCTGGACGATCTGGTGGTAAAGTCCAAGCCTACCACCTAAGAACTCTGAGGATAGTTTGGACAGTCCAAGATTAAACAAGTCTAGTGCAGGCCCAAAGGGTCCCTCAGCAGAGAAGTATCTTACTATGCACTTGGTGCTTGGATTTGGGGGCACTCAACTAAAAACTAAATCACGCCCACTGCCATCAAGTCTGTTCTAATTCTTAATGGCCTTAGACAGCATTTCTGAGACGGAAGTTTTACACAAATAGACAGCCTCATCTTTCTCTCACTGAGTGTGGGGTGGGTTTTAACCGCCAACATTTCAGTTTGCAGACCCATGCCTAGCTCACCATGTCACTAAAGCCCCTTCTTGCACCCATGAGCCTACACATGCCCTTTCTTCTTTTCCTTGCTATGTGCTACCTGATTTATAAAATTTCCCTCACAGTCTTAGCATAAAAGGTGAAATTTTTTTTGCCCAGGGCTATCTAGTACCTCTACATCCTATGTCTCTTAATTGTCATTAGAAGTTAGTGGTGCTTCATCCAATTCATTCAACAAACATTTGCTAAACAGCGACTGCGCAGGTGCTACCCTTGACACAGGAAGTTCACAGGTAATGAGCCAATCTTTCCCTGGAGGCACTGAAAACAATAGAATTTGTTATAACTTTTATACAATTTACCAAATACTTACTGGGCCTGGTGCATGAATAGATAATCAAATAGAATAGAAAGTCCAGAAATAGATACAAATTTAAAAAGAAATCTGATTTTAAAAATCATCTTATTAGGGAAGGGTAGTATAGTACCACTAATTACATTTAGATGTTCTGTGGTATTTTTCAATACCTGTGGAGCTAGTCCCCTCTCATGATTCTCTCTAACCAAATTGATACTAAAAAACATCTCTATGCATTAATATGCAAAGGAGCGCATTGGAGGTGCTGTGGTTTAGGTGTTGGGCTGCTAAGCACAAGGTTGGTTCAAACCCACCAGCCACTGAGCAGGATAAAGATGAGGCTGTCTGCTCCCGTAGAGACATGCAGACACTGAACCCCTATATAGGATTACCATGGATCAGAATTGACTTGATGATAATGGGTGTAGTTTTATGATTTTAGGGAAATAATAAAATTATTTTTCTCCCTACACTTATTCATGGCACTGGCTATGATTTTTTTATTGTATGAAATAATAAAAATAATTTTTCCTTAGGCTTTAATATCATGAATTAGGTTAATAGAGTCCATATTATTGATATACTTGATTCCTGAAAATAATTTGAAATTTTTCCTTTATTTCCTGTACATCAACATAATGTATACAGCACCAAGACCAGCTGATTTCTTAAACTTGATAGAATTTCTCTGAAAGCCATCCGGATCCGGGCTGTTTGTGAAGCAGTTCCTTGATAATTTCCTTCTACCTCAGTTGGTCGTTAACGTTTTACATTTCTGTTGGCGTTGGTGTTTTTCTAAGAGCGTATTCATTTCATTTAGGTCTCCATAGAAGTGAGTATAGAGATGTACAGAGTAGTCTTTTAAGGTGTTTTAGAATTTCCTACCGACAGCGTTTCTTTGTCATTCGTAAATTTTATAGATGCTTACACCTTTTTTATGGTTATACTTATCTACTTTACCTGTTTCATGGTGGAGTTGCTGCTTGTCTATTTTATTGATCTTTTTCAAAAAACAGAATTGTATTTATTATCTTGATCTGTTTTTATTTCTTTTCTACTTCATTCATGTCTGCTTTTGTTTTTATTTTCTCCTATTTCATGGTTTCTTGAACTCTATTATACTTCATCTTTTTTTTAATCTCAGTTTTCATCGTGTCCACATTCTCTTTCAATGCTGCTTATAAAATTTGTATTTAAAGCTATTGTCTCATGAACATCTTGTGACTTCTTCGTTTCTGAGATTTTCCTTTTTCTTCAATCTCTTTCCTGGGTTTATCAACTCTTATTACATTTCTTCTTCTTGCCCTTTGTTTTCGTTCATAATTTTTTTAATTTCTGATTTTAGATATTTTTTTTAACAAAAGGATTAAATTTGCAGTCGTTTGTTGCAATGTTTATTGTTTGCTTACCCACCCATTCACTGAAAATGTTTTAGGAGCATTTTTACCAGCTGAAGTGTTTTGATTCCTAATTTCTATTTGTTTCTTACAATACTTTTGAGTGAAATTTGTTTTAAGATTTTTATATTCCTAGGCTACTTGTGAGCTGGACCCCTAATTCAAGAGTAGCCTGTAGGCTTCATCTTCATCTAGCTCCTCACACATTGCTAATGTAATACATAGCATCTTACAGAATACTTCGTAAAGCTGGCATCGAACTCTCTGAGGATTTCTATGAGTATATTGTTGCTGATGCCATTTTCTTGGAAAATAATAAAAATAAACTCTAATAATAAAATTATGTAGCTAGATAATCATTTTTGAATGTAATATGAGTATTTTAAAAATAATTTCTAACTATGGAAATATAAATAAAACTAACCAAAATTATGCTTTCCAAACATTTTGTCATTAAACAGGATGGATCATTTCTTATTCGGAAAAGCTCTGGCCACGACTGCAAACAACCATACACATTAGTTGTATTCTTTAATAAGCGTGTATATAACATTCCCGTGCGGTTTATTGAAGCAACAAAACAGTATGCTTTGGGCAGGAAGAAAACGGGAGAAGAGGTCAGTCATTTCTCTTTTGAACTCTGCAAATGGAGATGGAGCACAGTCATACTGAATCAAATACGAAAAATGAGAAGAAAGGGTGCCCGAGGACTTGATCCTAACGGGCATATATGCTACAGAGAACCACGGAGAATGCTTTATTCAGGCAATTTATCCTGTAAGAGAACATACTACTAGCATGATGTCAAAGTTATATCTTGTTCCCTGTCATCCAGCTTCTTAATGAGATCAGTCTAACTTAGGATTTTAGTCCAGGGGACATATAAAGCAAGGTTGAATTATCAAGTAGAAGTAAAGTCACCCAATTCAAGGTCAGGAGCCAGATTCCAAAGTTAATAGCTAGAATCTCAGTTCTGCACTTTTGGGGTCCAGCCCCACAGGTTGAATGGGGATCCTTGCAGAGACAAAAAAGCTGAGCCCAGGAGACTAATCTCCAATATCCGGAGAAGAGTCTAGAGTGTATTCAACAATGGGGTTTTATAGTAATAAGGCCTGCAAGCCTCTTGTTAATACATACATAGTAGAATAGGTAGTGTTCATCTTTGATATCCCGAGCTCTCTAGAGGAACACTTGATAGGATGGATCTGGAAAGTGTGAGACGAACTGTGAGTCGCTCCGGATCCTTATGAGTGAGACACAAAGGGCGCTGACTGCTCCTCCTGGAACTGCAAACTGAGGAGCCAGGGGCGTAGGAAACAGCTTTCTTGATGTGGAGGGTGGATGTGATGGGGGAACAGCCTTCCTGGAGCATATGTGCTTTGGACACTGTCCGTTATCGCTGCACTGTGAAGGCGAGCTTCGCAAGGGCTGGTATGCCGAGTCTAGTGGTCAGAGCCCTGGGAGCAAACCACATATCATTCCTTCCAGGTCCTCAGTTTACCACAGGTACTGCATTAGGTGATCAGGGAACGATTCAGAGAAGACAAAGCCTGACTGAGTCGAAACATTAGTTCAAATCTGAATAAGCTTGGGGCCTTTCAATACTCACCAAACAAGAATTTCAATGCTTCTTCAATATTGACCAAAGGCAACACTTGCTGTCCTCCAGCTTAGCCATCCTGGTCCTGTTGTGCAGTATAAACTGGAATAATCCCTGAATGCTCCGTAAATAGAGAAATACATGACCTAGTGTTGAAGGATAGGTTAAATTTAAAGAGGTAGCTGGCACTCTGGAGGGGAGAAGAGGAAAGAGCAAAAGAGCACAATGGTTGTCCCCAGTGTGTTTGCTGCTTAGTAACTGTGTGACTTATGGATTAAGTGATTACAGGAAGGAGACCGATAGCATTGTTAAGACAACTGAAAGGTCTTGTGCCGATGCATTTACTCTATTTTGTTTTGAATGAGGTTTCAGATGTTTAGAAAATACAAAATTCTTGAATCTGAAAGCACCGGTCAAGACCAAATTAGGTTTTTAAAATGTAGGTTGCATTACCATAGAACACCAATTCAGCTGTACCAGGGCTGTCTGCTTTTCCTCACTTATAAAATCCCTCATTCTCACAGAAACGTTTGTCCAGTCTTTTTTGAATAAATGTTCCTCAGTAGTAAACAGTAGCAGGAAATGGTGGTGATCCTGGTAGGACATAATACTTGATCGATGACCTCATTCTAAAGCCTCCCTGGAGGGCTAAGCTCTTCCATAAAATATTAAAGGGGCAGAGAGGAATCCGGTCCCATTGAAAGATTCTGACAAAATTCAAAACTCTACTGCCCTTGGGTCAGTTCTGACTCATAGTGACCCTGAAAGCTTCCCATATAACTTTGGAGCCCCAAAAGAATTCTGGACCTCGCTGTCCTTCTAGGATACTCCTATCAGCCTGAAACGTCCTCATTCCTCCTTCAAAACAAACAAATCCTATTTTTGTTTGTTTGTTTTTCCTTACCCATATCCAACAGGAAGTACTATAGTCTTTTTTCTTAAAAACTTATTTCATGTTGTTGCAGTTGTTGAAAAGTGTACACTAGAATGCAAGCCAATTAAACGATTTCTGCATGTTCAATGGATTGATATTGATTATGTTCTTCAAGTTATGAGCTCACTCACACCCTTTCTGGCTTCCTTTCTTTTTCAGTCATTTTATTGGGGGCTCGTACAGCTCTTATCACAATCCACACATCCATCCATGTGTCAAGCACATGTGTACGTAGGTTGCCATCATCATACTCAAAGCATTTTCTTTCCACTGGAGCCCTTGTCGCAGCCTCCCTTTCTGAATTGTTCCTTTTCCATTAACATCAATCACTGCCCCCTGCAGTTTCCTCCTAACTCTTCACGTTGCACTTGTCACTTTGATCCCCTACCGCAGCGGTTCTCAACCTGTGGGTCGAGACCCCTTTGGGGGTTAAACGACCCTTTCACAGGGGTTGCCCCATTCATAACAGCAGCAAAATGACAGCGGTGAAGTAGCAACGAAAATAATGTTATGGTTGGGGGTCAGCACCACATGAGGAGCTGTATGAAAGGGTCTCGGCATGAGGAAGGTTGAGAACCGCTGCTCTACAGATAGTTCTTTTAAGGAGCACAGCGCTCAACGCAGACATTTTTTTGCTAATTAAGATAAACTGTTGTTGTTTGTTGTTTGTTTGTTTGTTTGTTTGTTTAAAGAAGACATTAGAGGATATTTGTCATTTAAGTATTCAGGGTTATTGTTCCAGGGACTCAGGCAGTCTCAATGATTTTGGACTCCATGAAAATAGAAATTCTGTTCCACATTTTCATTTTTAAAAACTTCACACACCTCCTTCAAGCTGGAATCGAACCAGCGACCTAAGGATGTCCAGACAACTTTTGGCTACAGTCCTCCGCTCTACCAGCTGAGCTCATTATTCTTATAGTGCTATTAGTAAGCACTAACAGAGTCTGTTAAATCTTACTTAAATAAGTAAGAGTAAGCTATAATAAAAAGACCATCTCTCCCATATACTTAACATTTGAGTGTAAAATGAAAAGTTTGGTTATACAAAGTCAGCCATATGAATATTTTTATAAGATTGCCTGTATTAGTGTTTGTATATACGTGAGCCAAAAAGAGTTACCAAATTGATTAAATATTTAACTTTCCATGCAGCTATTTTGGCATACAGCCTTGGCAACACTCTGCTTTTATTTTATTGACTTTAAGATCTACAGCCATCAAACAAGTCATTTTTCTATCCAGGTATAACTAGCACAAACACAATGAGGTAGTGTAGGCAGGAAAAAGAGAACTGAAGGGAACTACAACTGAATTAAGGACAATGCTTCTTTCAATTAAATCACCAATACACTTTAACTCCACTCATCATAACTTACCACTTCAAATGTTTTGAGCCCCTCACACTAATGCAAAGCATACTCATTTGGGAACTGGAAGGGCAGCTCTTTGTCTGTGGACGTGTAGTGATCTTCTCCTTTGCTTTCTGAGTTCAGAACATACTTATCCCCATGGAATTCACTTCAAACGGGTCACGCATAAAGATGATTTCATTTTCTGGTCCTGTATTCTAAAAATTTAGCTTCTGACCCCAGTCCATAAAGTACATGCTATGCCCCCCAAATTAAACATCCTGTGGTATTTATCATAAAAAAATTTTTCATTGGGAATTAAAACTAGCTTGAATGATTGATGAGAAGAAGAAAAAAGAATAAAGACTAAGTTATTCAAAAGTTCCTGTCTTTCACTGCTCCCCTGACCTAATATTCAGATACCCATTTGAAGAAGTTGGCCAATATTCTGAACATTTGACTTTATTCAGTATATAGATATTTGGAAACCATCTAAATTATCAATAAAGAATTTTTTACAACTTGTATCCCTGATAATCACTTTTAGCTGAAAAATTAAAAGAGATAATAAAATAAGTTATAATAATTGCTGAATTCATGGCGCTTTTGAAATACAATGACTTTTTAAAAATGGAAGGCATTTCTATATTAACTGTTGCATATTTATATAATCAGTGCTTTTCACTTCATAGCCTATGTTACATTTATTTTTCTTTCAGATAAAACTTAGATCATGGCAACAAATGTACAAATGTGCTTGACACAATTGATGTATGTATGGATTGGGATGAGTTGTTTGAGCCCCCCGTAAAATTATTTTTTTAAAAAAGAAAGATTAGATAAAAACCTTTGATCATATTTCCAAACAGAAAAAAATTTAGATTATCTTAAATTAAAACCCATCGAAGACAGGAATGAAAGCATAGAAAAATAAATATTTATGATAAGAGGCTAACATGAATTAGTTAATTAAGATTTAATTTAGTTCCAAGCTTACTGGGAGTCAAGACAAAATGGAAACATGAGGACTTACACATGGTTTTCTTTCTTGCTAAAGAGGGAAAAAAGAGAGAAAAATTTAATTGAAAGTACATTTAAGAGAGACCAATCATTTTATCTGAGAAATATATAATGGCATACAGATAAACTGGTTTATAAAAAATTCAAAAAATAATAGCATGGCAATTTCACATCTGACATTAAATTAAAAGCAAAATATTTAATTACAACTAAATAATCTATCTAATAATTTAGTTTGCTTATTTATGCTGTCAGTTCTAGTTTTATGTTCCTAATATAAGAAAGGCCAGGGACTGCCACTTGGAAGGGTGCAACATTTGCCCAACTACACTGTTTCAGACAAAATGTTAGCAGGAGCCTAGTGACTTTGAGTGTCTTGAGTGAGTAGAAGTGCTCAGTTGGGTTTGGGAAAGTGGGAGGACTGGAGTGTGAAGTTAACATAAGTATCACTGTGTAACTCAGCTATGTTTCCTTGATTTAGTACTTTGGAAGTGTTGCCGAAATAATCAAGAATCACCAACACAGTCCCCTGGTTCTGATCGACAATCAGACTAACACAAAAGATTCCACAAGACTGAAATATGCAGTGAAAGTTTCATAAAGGAAAAAAAGACAGAGATCAGCATCATTGCTACAGACATTTCCCCCAGACTTTGTACTATGGATGAAAAGTATCAAAACTTCATTTTGAGGATTGCAAATAAACCAGTAGAAAAAGAGAAGACGGAAGCAGCGATTAAGGAGATCATCCATTTCTTTATAAGAAGCTCAATTCGATTGCCTGACATGATGAACTGAATGTTTGATGAGGTTGAGTTCTTATGCTACAATTAGTCTCCAAATAAATCTTTATTTAAAAGAAACATGTGTACTCTATTTTCAGTCATGTGAGAAAATACCACACTATTTCCAAAATTTAAAAAATGTTACTCTTAGTTAAAACAAAACTGCTGAAAATGTAGACCACCACAATGGACAATGGTGCATCCTTGTAGCTGAGATGTCTACTGTCAGTGTTTGAAAGGTAATGCACAGAAAATAAAAATACTGTAAGTAATATATGTTATCTGTAAGAACGATGGAACAGTTCCTTTTGGGGGAATGCTCCCACTATAGGGCGATCATATGAGTGTGAACTTTCTAGAAGTTATGCTGAGGATTAGCATATGCTTACTAAAGATGCTATACTCTATTTGTTCACTTTAAAGTATAGATCCTAAACTTGCCATGAAGTTCACAATGAAATGAAAGCAAAACCAGTTTCTAGGGAAACATCACAGAAAAAGGACAGAAAAGGCGTTCATAAACACTGAATAATAATTCATCTATCATATTACATTTTATTAAATAAATATTATTTGTATGTATTATTATATGAATAATCAAAAGGATACCATATGACAGCCATGTCCAGAAATGTATTACATTTTATCATATGAGAGCCTTTATTTTACTTTAGATGGCACTGAAGGGATAAAGCTGCTAATTAAGATACAACAAATGAGTATAAGTGAATACTAAATTAGATAGCAATCTCTGAAAGGGTTGTAAATGGCTAGAGGATAATGATTTCAGAATCATTCACAGACTGACTTGTAAATGTTATTTTTCAGTTAAAAAAAAAAGCACTCAACTGCCAAGTCTATTCTGACTCATAGTGTCCACACAGGACAGACCCTCTGGGTTTCTGAGGCTCTCACTCTTTATGGGAGTTAGCAAGTCAGCACAGAGCCACTACCCTCACCTCTAGTAATCATTAAAAAAAACCCTTTTTTCTGTGTATACTTGTCTATTATTATTATCATCCTTTTATGATTGACTTAATTCACTCAACAATCTATGTTCTAACATGTATCAGGACTTCATTTCTCTTTAGACCGCCTTGTTTATACATTGATGGACATTTAGATTGCTTCCACCTTTGGGCAATTGTAAAGAGTGCTGCAGTGAACAGTAGGGTACACATGTCTGTTCACATGTCTTTTTTATGACCCTTGGTTATATTTCCAGGAGTAAAATGTCTAGGCAATTATATTTTAAAATATTATACAGTTTCATGATAACTGGTATTACTGGAATTAGATTCTTTGATCAAGAGCAAAGAATTGCACTGGTAAGACATAGAAGCACGGCTGGAGAAATTTATAAGAGGCTCCTAGGAGGGAAGGCCAGACTAGTGAGGTCGAGAGACTGACTTCTCTAAGCAAATGGGTTCAGAGTATTTTTAAAGGTTCCCACGGGGCATGAGAGATTCTGGGAACTTCAATGCTTTATTCCCTCTAGATGATGCAAAGTGTTGGTGCAGGGGCTGTAGAAATTGACAGACTATCACTTGAAATGTTTTCGCTGGCATGGAGTAGAGAAGCAGTGGAGAGGGCTGAGGGGCAGGCCCCAATCCCAACTACGTGGACACCTGCCCCTCCCCCAAAAGAATTTATTTCAGAGGACAGCACTGAGTCTGCAGCTCCAGGAAAGGGACATGTCTGATCAGAGCACACGGAAGCAAATGGAGGGGGAGGAAGAGAGAGTAGAGCACATCCTGGCCCACCAACCCTTGAGGACGATATTCCTCAGAGCAGTCAATCCACAGAGAAGACCACATGGCCAGCCCCACTATGAGACACGACATCCCTGACTGACCCAAAGCCCTACAGGGGATAACACTGGCGACACAGTGTGGGAATTGTGTCCGATCTGATCCCACCACACAGAGGCAAAACACGAAGGGCGTGGAACAGAACAGCAAGGGGCACAGAGCAACGAAGTCCCCAGGGAATACCAAAAATAGACTTTGGGGCCAGGGCTTGATGCCCCAACAGACTCACCTGGAAAACACTACTAAAGGCCAACAAAGTCCTTGAACCAACTGCAAGCTTTTCTTTTTTGTTGTTGTGTTTTGTTTTGTTTTTTTGTCATTGGCTTGTTGTTGTTTTGTTGCTTAGTTTTGCTCTGTCTTGTTTTTGTGCATGTTATTATCTCC